GGTCTCTCCCGTATGGGACGCGGTGGAGCTGGCGTCTGACCTGTTATCTCTGATGTCTTCCGACCGTGACAATCCAGCTGCAATGCCTGAGAATCAGGCAGATTACGCGATGACAGCGGCTTGCGATGCAGGAGATGTGGAGAACGAAAGTAGTTTTGACAAGTTACCAGATCCCAAGACAAGGTCAGAGATGTTACGTCGTCCGGATCGGCATCTTTGGGAGCAGGCTGAAAAGGAGGAAATTGCGAAGATCGAAAGTCGTGGGGTCTGGGAAGTTGTTACGCGTGATCAGAAAAACAGGGAGTCAAATCATTCCGTCCTTGCTCGCGCCTTGTGGGTGTATGCTTCAAAACGAGACTTGAAGGGCAAGATCTTGAAACGAAAGGGGCGGCTAGTTATCATGGGCAACTTACTTCCTTCATCTGAAGAATTGTTTGCACCGACTACATCGTTGGACAATATCCGGCTCTTGCTGAGCATCGCGGCAGGCAACCGTTGGAGAATCACATTCAGGGATATCTCTGCTGCTTTCTTGTATGGTGACTTGGAGGTTCCTGTGTATTTGATTCCTCCAGATATCATGAGTCTTCCTCCTGAGTGCCTCCTCAAAGTCTTGAAGTCGCTCTATGGACTTCGCATTGCACCAAGGAGATGGTATCTTAAGTTCACGCAGGTGTTGAAGACGGTGGGAGCAAGTGGGATAGGACATGATGAGATCATCTACCGATACTCCAACTGTGCGGGGGACGTCTTGCTTCTGACTGTCTTCGTGGATGACTTACTCATTGTCTCTCAAACTGAAGCAGTTAAGATTGAGTTTCTTGAGAAGCTCAACACAGTATTCGACTTTTCGGGGAGTGAGGCAACAGGTACCTTCTTGGGCATTAAAATAGAACAGAATGACGATCAGGGTCGGATAACTTTGTCACAACAGCATTTCATTGAAAAGATTGTTGAACGCTTTGAAATCGTTGCCAGAGGTGTCAAAACGGTATTACCTGGTCACTATCTCAAGACTTATCACTTGGAGGGTAAGTTGTTGAACAAGAAGGAAGTCCGCACTTATCAGAGTCTTCTGGGGTCCATTCTCTACGTGGCAAATTGTACGCGGGTTGATATCGCATTCGCGACGAGCGTCCTTAGTCGCTTTGCTCGGGCTCCTAGGCAGTGCGATATGGATGCCTTAATTCATCTTCTACAGTACCTTTACACTACTCGGGAGGTTCAGATCGTATACCATTGTCACGGAGTATCTTACCACCAGGAGTGTTTTGTCAATGAGATGATTGCATTCAGTGATGCTGGTTGGGGTACCGAGATTATTACGAGACGGAGTCAAAGCGGATATGGAATCGTTCTGAATGGTGGGGTAGTCGTCTTCGGTTCAAAAATGCAGAAGGTTGTTGCCCTGAGTTCTTCAGAAGCTGAAATTTATGCTGCCACCACATGCGCGAAACTAGTCAAGCTTTATAGAAATCTCTTGGGTCAGATGGGATTTACGCAGACTCGTCCTACTCTCTTGTTAATCGACAATGAACCATGTCTGAGGCTTTTGTGGGACAAGCGAAGTTATAGTCGACTCAAACACATTGATATTCGAACGAAGTATGCTGTTGATTTGGTAGAAAAGGACGAGCTCTATCCAGAAAAGATTCATACTTCTTATCAGCCTGGCGATTTGCTGACGAAAGTTCTGCCTTTGAATCGGTGGAGGCTCCTTGGTGAATTTCTCTTCGGAGACCCCTTACCGGATATGCTGCTCTGAGGATGCTCGCCTGTCATGCTCTCTGCGCTTCATGCTCTCTGCGCTTCTGTCAGGGACAGTGCTACTCTGTTCCCATGCCGTCAGTCGCCAAAGTTGTATGCCCCGTGTGTGATTGACGGTGATCCGAGCTCTAGTCTCCGACAAGGAGATTTAACCGATCCTGCTGCGGTGGCTTCCAGGCTTTATCTTCCGTCTTCTATCCGATTCAGGGAGGGTGTCTCGGGTGATGTCACCGAGGAGACTCTCATGGAGAACGTGAAGGAATCGGATGAATCGGAAGGAGGATAAAGACAGACACGTCTTCCTCAAGCCTGTGGCTAGCTGCAACCAAGACATCTGTTCTAGGTTAGTATCTTAGAAACTCGCTCATCCTGATCTATGGAACCCATGACGGTAGTGAACGATGAAATTGAATGGCCAAAAAATGAAAATTGAGAAAGAAATGACGGATGAGTCGAGATCGATAAGTCATGTGGTTGAAATGAAAGCGCTGACGTCAAAAATGATTGTGCCTTGGCAAAACAATGATCCCCGGGGTAGATAGGATAGAAAGGGCCCATAGATTAGAAACGAGAAAATTGTGTTCAAAACAATCAGAGATCAATCAATGCATTGCAAGAATTCTGAACCTGATCTCTGGAGCTTGATTGGAATTCTAAATTCTTGGCATCATCAATGGGTGGAGATGTCTTCATTGCTCAATGCGCAAGCTTCAGAGAGGTCACATGATGACCAATCCCATCATGAGGATCAGGTTGAAGAGGAGGAGGAGCTGTCTGACTTGAAAGATGCAGATGTGTTCAGGACTTAGTCTTGAGCTGACACTGCAGGCAGCTGGGAAGAGTTTATGATGGAAGGTGAGGAGGAGCACAGGTGCATGCGGACAGCGCAGGCGGATGAGGAGAGTCTCTAGTGGCATGCGGATGGTACAAGCTGAGGAACCCGAGTGCACGAGCATCAGGATGCGCTAGAGGAGGACAGCGCAGGTGCTGCAGGAGTGCTGCTGAAGCGCAAGCGCTGGAGGAGCAGCGCAGGCCCTACGATGGTGGGGAGAAGCCGCAGCGCAGGTGGAGGAGCAGCACAGGTGCACTGTTGGCGGGGTGCGACCGCACTGCATCCGCAGCGCAAGCGGAGGAGGAGTGCAGGTGTCACAGGAGGCGAAACGCAGGTGCACCAGGGTGCACACTTGAAGCGAAGGAGGAGCGCAGGAGGCATGCAAGATGGGGGATGAGCCTGTGCAGAACGGTTGATGGAGTGGTAGCAGCAAGATGACCTTGGAGAGGAGAGCAGCATGGAAGTCAGCTTGGGAAAGATGTTGATGGTCAGGTGATGGGAGCAGCTGACAACGCTGCAAGAAGCTAGAGCGATCGTTGGAAAGGAGGACATCGCAGGGGACAGCTGCTTAGCTGTCAAGCAGATGATTTTGACAAGCTGAGAAGGTTGCAGACTTCTGACTTGCTTCACAAAGGGAGGGTGTAAGAACTCAGGTTCTGACAAACCTCTCAGAAGTTCTTTCAGACGCGATAAGTTCAAGGGATGCGTCTAATCAGGTTGTGAACCAAGTGAAGCCTGCAGGTCCAAGCTAGTGGGCTGGAGCTTAGTCTGTGACTTAGAAGATCCGGTTGGTTGGAGCCTGGGGAAGCTGAGGCGGCGCCGGAGGAATCAAGAGGCGCCGGCTGTCGAAGAGGCAGCACTCGTACAGTGGTGGAAGTAAGGCGGTGGTGTGTGAAGGGAAGCTGTTTGGTTGGTCTTGCTGCTACGAGTGTTGGGAATAAAGTGCTGGGGATTGTTGGGAAGTTGATCTGAGTTATCTGAGGTGTTTGGTTGGCTGTGAAAGTCATTGGTGTCTTCGTGCGCACATCATCTGTGAGTCTTGGTCTTTGGACTTATCAGTCAGCTGTTGAGCTGTTCTACTAGTCATTCATCTGTGCACAGACTCTAGGAGTCAGGAATTGATTCCAATAAGGCTGAGCCCGGCCGCCCGGCGGGCCGCCGCGGGCCTCCGGCCCCCCCCCGGAGCCTCGGAGCCTCCGTCCGTAGTTACTAGTCAATTGACTCGTGTGAACAGTGAATGTCCCGGAGTCCGACGGTCCGGTCACTCCGAGTCAGGCTGGGAGTCCCGGCCGGGCAGCAGCAGTGCGGCCCGGCCGCCCGGGGCCGCGTGCTGCACGTGACGGCCGGGCATCACTGCCTCCGAGCTGAGTGGCACTTGGCCGGCCCCGACAGCCGCCACTGAGTGCGGTGAGAGCCCGGCCTCCGAGTCAGACCGTCCCCGGACCGACTGAGAGTCGGACGGTACGGTCAGCCGCGTCAGCGGTCGGCCCTGCTACGGCAGTGACCGTACGGTGTACAGTCCGGGGCCCCGGCCGGGCCGCCGGGGCCTGAGCTTGAGTTTCAAGACTAATTTGCTCATCAGCAACAAAATTTCAAAAGGTAATAACTAGGCACCCCTACTGGATATGAAACCAAAACATCAGAGGTACCTACAGGTTACGTATCCGAGCTATACCGATGGTCATAGCTCCTAGAAATCTCATCAATTTTGTGTAAGAGGTCCTATGTGCCCCACCAGATGTCGAGGTCGGGTTTTCCCAAAATAGCACATCTGAAGGTATGGCATGACTGAGCAAGATGCACAGTGCATGAGATAGTTGAGGAAGATGAAAAGAGAAGAAGAAAAGGAAGAGAAAGAAGAGAAGGTGTAGCCGAGTATGTAAGAACCTGTCATGTCGTCATTCAAGTGGAATATGCGATGCAATATTTTTTTTGCAACCTGATAAGCCACTGATCAAAACATGATATGCGTAATGTATCAAGTCAACAGTGTGAACATGTATCGTCTGACTTACTGCATCAATCTTTTCTGTTGAATGGTTTCTAATCGAGTGCACTCATGCAAAGATTCTTGTAGAATGATTTCTTACATTCACGCCCTCGCTTTGAACAGCCATGGCTGATTGTCTTCAACAGGCACAATGTTTGAGTTGCTCAGTCTCTTCCCTTCCAAGCAAGCCATCGAGCGCGGTGACAAGGATTACCATGCTGCTGTGAACATCAGCCAGGAGATGCACCAGCGCTACGCACACTGGTCCCAGGGTGGATGGTAGATGAAGGGATTCGTGTCGACTCTGCTTCCTCTTGATTCTTTCCTCTTTCATCCACGTGTCTGGATGATGTTTGTCTAGCTTACCAAGATTCCAATGATCTCCACGTACAAGAAGTTTTAACATTAAAGCTAGTTCACGTTCACGGCGTGCATGCCTTCCCCGCTCGCCGGCACAACCTTCATGGTCAACCCGCGCAGAAACGAGATCAGCTCAAGGAGGAGTTCGAGCGTGAAGGGTCCGAGGCAGCACACAGCTCCGATGGTCCCGAGGGAAATGCACGCGGCAGCTGCTCCTGCAGCAACAGTGAGAAGGGTGTGATGATCAGAGTTGCCTGGAGCACCGGGATCGAAGAGGAAGCTGTTGACTTGAGCAGGCAGCTCCTCCCTCCTCGCTCTCTCCCGCAGAAACTCCGAGGTAGTGCTGGTGATGAGAACGCACACAATCGCTCCCAGGCAACCCCACTTGAACATCCTCGCCTTGCGCCTGTCAGACCTCATTCTCATCTCCTGTTGCAGCTTCCTGTTGACAACTTGTTGCGTCCCTTGCTGCTCCCAGAGCGACGAGGAGAGAACGATGACTAGAGCCACTGCGACGATGGCAGTGAGGGAGCAGGTCAGGAACACATCCAGCCACGGCAGAGAGGAGGAGACGTCGAAGGTGCGGATGCTCATGACAACCAGCACGCACCACAAGCTGATCTGGAAGGCAAGAAACTTTCCACCCAAGATCTCAGGAGAAGGAGGCTCAAGGCTTGCGACGAGCAGGACAAAGAGAATGAGTAGGATGACCTGTGAAGGAGGAGGAGGAGGAGGAGGAGGAGGAGGAGGAGGAGAAGGAGGGGGAGGAGGAGCAGCAGCAGCAGGAGAAGGAGAAGGAGGTCAGTAGGGTAAGCAGTAGATACTACCAGATACCGGATAGACGAACTTGAGAGCTACGCGAGAGGGGAGCTCCTGGACGAACAAATCGATGTGCAGGCCTTGAGGATCGGTGAAAGAGTGTGCGAAGATGACGCGATGGCGGGGGGTGTGATCACGCACGGAGAGGGAGGAGGGAGGGAGAAGAGCTAGCGCGAAGTCGTTGATCCAGGAGGAGGAGGAGTTGTCCGCCAGTGCTCCTGCAGGATACATCCAAGACATGCGTAGGCGTGCGATGCCCGTCTGGTTCACCCAGAGTCCAAGGGGATCACACGACCATGAGGAGGAGAAGTTCCTCTCCTCCTCCACCGCCCCCGAGGCGTTGAGCGACACGGACTTCGGGGCTGCCGCCCACCCTCCTCCATCCTCCTCGTTGGTCCTTGTGAGGTCAGGCCGCCATGTCAGGATGGCTCCTTTGAGCCTCTCCACGTCGAAGACGGATCTCCCTAGGGGGTTACTGGTGGACGAGAGGAGCCGGGAGTCCTTCCATGTCAGCTTCACCGTCGCAGAGCTGGAGAAGGTCTCCTTGCTGAGATCCAGCCCGAGGAGGATGACGTTGCTCACCTGCACCTCTACTCGCGTCCTCTTGCCCAGCAGCTCGTCACGAGGAGCGCTCCTCATCCTTGGAGGAACCTCAGAGGCGAAGTAGTCTGCGAGGTACTGCACGTAGTTCCAGTAGCCGCTGCAGAGCGTCCATCAGACCTCCTCTCCTCTCCTCTCCTCTCCTCTCCTCTCCTCTCCTCTCCTCTCCTCTCCTCTCCTCTCCTCTCCTCTCCTCTCCTCTCCTCTCCTCTCCTCTCCTCTCCTCTCCTCTCCTCTCCTCTCCTCTCCTCTTTTCTCCTCTTCTCTCCTCTCCTCTCCATGCTCTTTCCCCGATGTTCCCTATCCCCAGTATGGTCTCATTTCCCATCTCCTATCCTCACTTTTTTCTCCACTGTCTCAGCTTCTCCCTTCCGAAAACCCTCTACCAGCTTCCTCCGTTGTCTCTACTGCATCCCGACTCCGCGTCGCACCTGTAGCAGTCCTCCTCCTTCTCGATGACGATCGCTTCGCTCTCGATACCATACTCATGGACAACGCGCGAGCAAAGACTTTTCTGTGCCAGGCACGTGGAGCGATTGGACAGTAACAGAGCGTTGCCTCCTGCCGTAGCAGCAGATGTCGGGGAGTACAAGATCTGCATGTTGAAGTCAGAGGAAGAGGAGTAGGAGCGGCGGAGGATGCCTGGCAGGAGGAACAACCTGACACAACAGGGTCGTGAGCAACGTTATTCACACGATGACTGATTGCCTCACCGTTGCGCAGACAGGCCAGACACTTGACATCTACTCCATAGCGGCTCATGGCGACTTGATAAGGATCGTCAAGGTTCAGGGAGAAAGAAGAGCTTGACGACACGTCTTCACAGACAGAAGAATCTGCTTTTTGACCGTCATCACGTCAGGAAACTCGCTTCATGCAGACTGCATTGAGAAATTCTCCTCTCCATCTCCTTCCTCCGTTCTCCAGTCTCTCTCTCCCTTCTCGCTCTTCCTCTCCTTACCAGCAGGTGCACACCCATCCAAGCTGCAGGTGCTCTCCTTTACGAGATAGGAATCGTTGCACGGCCTCAATCCGTTCTGCGGTGGGACGTCGCAGAGATCTGAAGGAAAGAGGATCACGATACCGCCATCTCCTCCTTACTTGCAACAACCCTCCCCATCTCTCCCCTGCCACTCCTTCCAGTCATTTCCTCTCCTAAACCTCAGCCCGATCCTCCTTTCTCTCCACTTTTGACCTCCTTGCTGTCATGGATTTTTACCTGCTGCAAACACACAGCAGAAATCCTTGCCATCAGAGCAAAGCGTCGGGTTGTTGCACATGTAGGGAATGTCGATAGGGCACCTCGCAATGAAATCGTGCTGGTTGCAGCACGACCAGCCGTCGCTTCCCACATTGCAAACTAGAACAAACAAAGTGAGATCAGTGGTGTGGGAGGTCACGGCAAAAAATGCAAAACAAAAAACATTTTTGAGAAGCATCATAGTCATCATCGTCGTAGTGGTGATCGTCATCATCATTGTCATCGTCTTCCGATCACCACCATCTCTTCCACCACCAGCTCCATCATCATCATCATCATCATCATCATCATTACGTGTTTTATCGTTGCACTGATAGACTTGTTGCTCGCTGGTCCACGTGGTTCTGTCCTTCACCCACGAGCATGTGCTGTTGCTCGTCTCTACATGGAACTTGTCGATGCAGGCAACGCTCCCCCACCTTCCACTCTGCGCGTCACAGCCCTGCCGGGAGCTCGTTCAGCTTGCAACCAACAGCCCGTTCGACCTCTCTCTCACCTGCACACCGATGTAGGAGGGAGCAAGCTTCAAGTTGACGAAGATGTCTCTGCTCGGGTTGCAGTACCGCGTCCTCCCAAACGTGTCCCTGCAGGAGTAGACGCCGCAAGGGTACTCTGCGGTGGCCAGCCCTGCCGGGCATGCAGCGCTTTCAGTGACTAGGGAGCAGGAGGAGCGACATGGGACGGTCGAGCTCTCGGGCAGCACCGGGCATCCTGCGGAAAAGTTGTGGGTGGACAAGGATGGAAGAGGGAGGGAGAACCTGCCATGCTGCCGCTCCCGGAAGGACAAGCGGACCAGGTGCCGTGAAAACAGCAGGAGAACATGACGATCGAAGCAAGCTCCAACGATCTCTGCGACATCTCCGTACTTCCTTGTGCTCCTGACGCCTCCACCTAATCTGTTCCTCCCAGTGCTGTTGTGCCTGCTGCTTCCCTCTCCCCTCCCTACTCCTCTACCTGCAACAACTCTTGCTTTCTATGTATCAGCCAGCCTTTTCCGCTCCTCTCCTCGCTCCTGTTCTTCTCAGTCACGAATCAACGATTCTCCTCCGACTGCTCTCTCCTTCCTTTCGAGGACTGCTGGAGCCTCCAGGTTCATGCCCACAGCTCCTCCCTCATTTCTTCCTTCCTCGCACCCCCCCTCCTTGCATTTTTTCTACGCGCGGTTGAAATGTAAACGGCTTGTCAAAGTCAAAACTCATCTTTTGTTTTTTCAGTTGTGGTGCACGGTCACAATCACAGGCCCTCGGGCACTGGCCTGAGGCGGCAGCTCGGCCGGCGGCAGGAGTCGGATGATAACATCCGAGTCAGCCTGATCAGGGACTGGCCATGACAAGACTTGAACTCATTGAGAGATTGTCTTCAAGAGAACAAATACCATGATAAGAGAATCGTACAGGAATTACCATTAAAGAAAGTCAGACCGAGAGTGCTCGTACAAGCCTTACATCATAACATTACAGGGACCTCTACTCAAAACAAATAGCAGACGAACATCTCCCCGAGTTATGGTAACACCTGCACGTAATTGAATGGAAACCTGGCAACAGGTGGTCAGTGCATTGAAGAAGCCCCAACAGACACCTCACCATCCAATCCTCCCATCGACCTCGCCCTGCCACCATCCACTCCTGTCCTGCTTCAGCACCGTGACAAGATCGCCATACCTCAAGTCCAGCTCTGTATCAGCTGTTGCATCATAGTCATACAGCGCCCTAACGACGATAGTGCTGAGAGGCCTCGGTGACATTGGCTGGGATTGTACGGAGAGTTTAGACATGTCGACAGCGATGATGTTGGAGTTGTTGTGATCAGGATGGTGAGGAGGAGGCAGCATCGAGTCCGACCATCTCCCCCGACTAGGGCTCACTGGCTCTTCTGGAGACTTCCCTGACACTCCCTGTTCCATTTGCGTCTCCCGATCCAGTCTAGCCAGCGTTTGCCTGCTCATCCTCGCCGCTTGCCGTGATTGTTCGTTGTCCGAGAGCTGGTCCAGGGCAGCAAGTCGGGTTGCAGTCTGCTCATGGATCGTCCGCAGGAGGGAAACCATGGATAGCAAGGCCTCGTCTACCATTGCATTCTTGTGCTCTTCCGCAATCTTTAACCGAGACGTCAAGTTCTTGTTAATCTGTTGGTACCGAACATCCGCCGCCTGCAACTTCGCCTCTGTCTCCTTCACCTTCTCCTGGTTCTTGGCCGAATTGTTCTTGTGCTGCTCTGCCTCACACCGCAGGAGCTTGTTCTTGTAGTGATCGAGATCGGCAACGTATCTATTCCTCCTGTTGTGATCTTCGCGTATTGCCTGAAAACGACCTCGCATCCTATTCGATGGAGCAATTACTGCAAGATCCCACTGTGAACTGACGGAAGGAACAAGCTCTTCGCAGAGCTGACTGAACAAGTCGCACAGGGACACAGACATCTGACGCAGGGGAGGCTGCGGCTGCTCCTCGTAAAGATTCTCAAGCGCAATCGCTAGCTGGCTGCCAGCCTCATAGAAGGATTCCTTGACATCAATCAGCCTCCTCGTCATCCTTGGCGCCTTCTCATCACTTCAACGTACCTGTGCTTGAATGAACTTCTTTAAAGCTCCATTGAGCTCCTCTACTCGCGTGTGAACCTCGAAGAAATGCTAAAACGCCGTCAGTCATGCAGCCTGTCTTAAAGTTGTTCATTGCGGCATACATTGTACATGTGGTCATACTCTTCGTCCCTGTCATGGAAGTAAGAGACTTGAGACATGAAATATAAGAGAATCACTTTGTCTCTGGCATATTATGCCTCAAGGTTGCCTGTTATCATTCAAATCACAGCAAGCACAAATCTATACCATCGCACCTTTTGAATCGAGTGAAGAGTTCTCCTCTTCAAACTTCTGATCTTGTAAAGAAGATCTTTCTTTTGCCCTTCAGTGCTCAGCAGTAAGAAACTTCAAATCCTTTGCCGTAAGCATCAACCTGATGGAATAGACATGCGGTCCGTGCTTTGTGATGCGACTTCATCGTGTTCTGTAAATGCAAGCGTGAAAATCCAGCGAGGAGTATGAAGGAACTCAATTGCTCTACGAGATCAATCATTCCTTCACAAAAATCTGATGCAAAATGAGGATAAAAGTGAAATGCCATCAGCGTGAAACATCTAGAAAATTCAAATTCGCCTAACCCGCCAACTGATCCTTGGTATTGCCTGTTCATTTCCTCGCACAGGCTGAGGATGATTCGATGCTTCATTTCAAGATCAGTCTCGACTTTTGAACATGCATGATGAAATCTAACTTGAGCCTCTCTCACTACAAGCACTCCATCACTTAGCAGTGGGTTCTTACCATTTTCGACGTCTGCCATGGCAATAGGTAGGAGTATGTTGAGGGTGGTTCCAAAATGCACGGGTACTAGTCGAAAGTTGTCAGTAAGCACCCGTACATAGTCATCAGAAAAATGGACGAATGGAGGGGTACATGATGTGGAGGAAGGGTTCTTTCGCTGGGGTGGTCTTAGTCTCAGGGAAAATTTATCCCGGGGGTGGGTACTTTACGAAGGATTGAGGGGTGTGTGCTACACCCCTCCAGAACTCCAATAGACAATAGGGGTGGTGGAATACTTTCACCTGGCTATACCCCCTCAATACAGTACTCAAGCACGGGTGGGTTGAATGATTTGATGGTAGGGTACCCCGCAGGAACCATGCCAATGCTACAGCCTGATTTTAACTTAACTTTGAGTAAAAGCTTGACTGAGAGCCTGATGACTAGAGTAGTACGACCGGGGCGGGCTCAGCGGCTGAGGGCTCCCGGCCCGGCCGCGGAGTCGCGGACTGCGCCCCGGCGTCTCTCCTGATTGTCCTCGTACTGATTTTTAACTTAACTTTGAGTAAAGGTACTTGCGTGTCAAAGAAGCGGCCGCTGAGTATTTACTCAAAGTTAAGTTAGAAATCAGTAAGAGGACAATCAGCTGAGTTATAGACTTCAATGGAACAGCCTATAACTCACTCAGGCTGTCAGTGCCCGTAGTACCCGGCGTTGAGTCCTCGGGAGCCGGCTCTTGGAAGCCGCCGGGCCCTGGTACCACCCCTATCATTAACTGTGCGTAGGGTGGGTCCCTGATCACCCCAGTGTCCTGGAGGGGTATCAAGTACCCTCCCCTTCCTGTCAAACGTATACAACCTACCCACACGTACTTTGCACCCCATTGTCAGTTTGATGCGCACCTGGACCCCCACCAATATCTGAGTACCCCTGCCTTTCCCTTTCAATGTACCACCAGGAAGTTATTTGGTAGACCGCCCACCCTTTTCCCACCCCACACTTTTACGTCTGACATGAAGATCAGCGACCTCGTTGAACAGGGGGTGGTCCACATTATTTCAGGATCGGTAAACAGGAAAGGTGGGGTATACCATGGTAGGAAATGGGGTACTTAATAACCATAGGAACCGATCTAGACGAGGGGTGATGGGGTAGTGCGAGGCCGGATACAGTATCCGTGAGGAGATCCGGTGATTTCAAATGTTGGTAGAACTTGAAATATGATTTGAAGTTTTCGATGTAAATCCAGAAATTTGAAGCTATGTTTGCAAATAAGGTATCCGGTCATATGGCCACACTCAAAGGACCCCAGGAGATCCGTCTCTCTTCCACGGAGGGGTACAACTCTTCTTAGGTGGGTCATCACTTGATTAAGAAACAATAGATTAGCTTAAGCTCAATTTTTTCAGTTGTATGAAATGCTCTATATAGTTTAGTTAATCATAGAGTATGTGTGGGTCCATGCTTGATTTTCAGGCAATCTTTCTACAGCGGCTCCCCCACGTCTTTCAGCCGCGATAATGCTGCGCCTCCTCCTCCCCATCGCTCTCGTAATCGGCCAGGCCGCTGCCTTTGCCCCCTCCTCCTCTTCCTCCCTCTCTCTTCTTTCTTCCTCTAGGTCTGCTCCTGCTGTCTGCGCTCTCCGAGCTTCCGGCTCAGATGCGTCGAATGTCTTGTCCCGCAGGGATGTCCTTGCCAGTTCAGCCGCTGTGATCGCCGGGCTGAGCATGCCGTGAGTGACAACATTGTAGCACTGATGGCAATGTTCGACTGTTTGACTCAAACTTGGCTCAATTCCTATGCAATTATGCGCATGCGCGTTATTCTATTTCCCCGATGGGCTGATCATTCATGTTTCCCTGTTCAGTGCTATGATGATTGGATTTCAGTGTATCACAGATTGAGCGAATGCGATGGAGTAGCAAAGTTTTGCTTTTTATCTGTCTATGATGACGTTTATGTATGCCATCACAATCTTGCTGCATTCCTGATTTTTTCGTTTTTCTCGTTTCCTCAGAGCCATCGTGCGTGCTGAGGGGGAGGCTGCAGTGGAAGCTGCTCCTGCGCCAGCAAAGGCAGCAAGTGGAGAGAAGTACAAGCTCAGTGGTGACTACAAGACAGGTTAGTCTGCATCATCTTGCCCTCTTCTTGACAAGCAAGTGACGATGATGTGCTAGATGTCAGCGAATTGTTGAACAAGATGAAGGCTGCTACTGAGATGAAGAAGGGTGACCCAGCCATGAAGGCCCTCGTTGAGGACACCCGTGACGAGATGAACAAGTTTGTTGCCTACTACCGACGCAACAACAAGGTCGCGGGAGCTGCTAGCTTCAGCACTCTTTACACCGCCATCTCCACCCTCTCCGGACACTTCCAGAACTACGGCCCTGAGTACCCAGTGCCAGAGAAGCGCAAGAAGGTGAATGCATTGGATTTATGTTCTCTTGACTTCCCCGCTGACTTGAGCGAATTTCAGCGTCTCTCTCAGCAGTATGCTGAGGTCGAGAAGCAGATTGCCCGTGGCAGATAAATCGATTCTTGTTGATTAAGGAAGTGAACGTGTCGTTTAAATGAGCGTGGTATGGAAAGCTGCGAGCTCTAGCGATCTTTTGTTGGAGACGGCCAGCAGGATAGTGTTTCTTGCGATAGTGTCCTCTATTGTCGAAAATACAAAAAATTACGCAAAAAACCAAATTCCACTTTGCTTAGTTCCGTTGTCCACGTCTCATGTAAAAGCTCGCAGACCATAACAATGAGTGCTGAGGAAATTGTGCGGGCAAACAAGAGACATAAATTGCATACTTGCCGTGGTTGTTCACTTTTTGTATGATACCAAGCATGCTTCGGCCAACTAAACAATCCATAGAACATCTTTCCCACCAGAGACTAAATCTCGCTGCTAGCTGGGATCAAAAGAGGATAAATTCGGTTGAGACAAGATGAGCGAAACAAGTTTATATATCTTCCAGGACCTCTAAAGTCTCCACGCTGCTTTGAGTTCATTTGTGCTGCTTGTTGTCGTATGTAGGTGAGGCAGCTGCCCGTCGATGGGTGTAGGAGAGGACGCCGCTTGCAAAGGCTGTTTTGTGATATCCACTTTTCATCAGATGCATGATGTTTCGACAGGATTAAGATGAAATGTTGGAGCTTGACGTGTGTAACTGTAAATTTAGCTTGAAAGACATAACTTACCTTCTGCTCGTGTGCAATCACAGCTTGTTGAAATGGTTTGTTCAAGGACGGGCCATACTCTCTTCAGGCCTTCTCTTTCTTCCTACACATCTTTCTTTCCATCCCTCCTCACCCATCTCAACTCTCCACTCTCCTCAAGCTCTGCTGCCTCAATCTAACAAAGCAAAAAACCATCCCCTGTTAGTGTTTGCACGCCATTGGCGACGCAGGGCGAAACCTTGCGATTTTTCAATGCACTTTATGTATTCAAGATCCTGTCAAAGCGCTCCAGGCCAGCACATAGGCTGCTCGAGCGACGCAGGGCGAGACCTTGCGATTTTGAGACTTTCAATAAACTGCATAGAAGGAGGAAGACAAGCACACAAGGCATCCACATTTATCTGTTGGCCTTGGCAATGCGCTCGAGCTCATCCTTCTTCTTGATGGCGTAAGAGTTGGAGGATCCCTTGGCAGCGTTGATGATCTCATCGGCGAGGCACTCAGCGATGGTCTTGATGTTCCTGAAAGCAGCCTGACGAGCTCCCTGGGTGATGAGGTAGATGGACTGGTTCACACGGCGCATAGGAGAAACGTCAACAGCCTGACGACGAACGACACCACCAGAGCCGATACGGGTAGAGTCCTCACGAGGGGAGGCCTGGATGATAGCCTCGACGAGCTGTTGGATCGGGTTGGAGTCGGTGAGGAGATGGATGATGTCGAACGCATGCTTGACAATGCGAACGGCCATGATCTTCTTACCGTTGTTACGACCGTGCATCATGATCGAGTTGGTGAGGCGCTCGACAATGGGGCACTGGGCCTTCTTGAACCTCTTCGCCTGGAAGCGACCGGCGGAGTGAGGAACGAATTGAGCATACTTGGGCTTGACAGCGATGTAATCCTCGAGGGAGATGTCGCTGACCTCGATGTCATCGTAGCTCCACTTGTTGAACAGCTTGACCTCGTTGGCGAAAGTGCTCGTCATGCTGTGCGCTCCTACTCTTCCCAAGCACGCGCCGTTCTTTTTATCTTCCACCCCTCACCCACCACCATTAAAGTTTTCATAGTACCCCTCGTTTCAATGATTTATGAAACATTTCATAATTTTGGCTGAATACACTAGAATTTCATTCAGGAGAAGGGGGGAAAGGTTCGAAAGTTTCCTCATATATTTCAAATACTGTATATATTTGAGATAGCATGTATCGTGGACCCCTGCACGAGCTTGTGCACCGGTGATCTTTAATATACCCCCACCCCCTAAATTCCCTGTTTCTTTACCGGTATGGTAGTTCCCAACCCGCCTCGTGAAAGACTTCCAATTTCTTATTCCATACCCACCCCTGCATCTATCGACAACGAATATCTAAAGAGTACCCCCCATTTTACCCGTATTTTTCAGTGAATACCAAGCATGGATGGTGTACCCTACCTACCCTATTTCCCATCATATCCCTACTACCCGTCATGAAGTCCCACCCCGGATTCAGGACAAACGCAAAGCGTCAGACACGCCCTTTTGAAATGCCGGCATGGGCTGCAGCAGGAGCTGCAGGCTGTAGTCTGCTTCTGCTCTGGGCAGTCTTGAGGATGTTGTCTTTCGCTTGCTCGCTGTCACTGCTGCTCATTGGCACCTTCCTCCTCCACCTCTCGTTGAAGGTAACGTCAAGAAATCAGGAAGGCAAGGAGTCAGGCATCGTGTGGGTCGTGAGCGAGTGGCTCCGAGTCCTTCGCCGTGAGTATGTGCTGTTCTGCGCGAAACATCGCAGAAGAGCCAACAAAGGAAAGGCATTTAAACCAAGAGACAACAACAGTCCTCCCAATGAGCAAGCTCAGCAGACTCATACAATGCACAGGCGCAATGTGGATGACAGCGCTTCGAAGGCCCAAGCTCAAGTCCAGTGCTCTAGCTCTTACATGAAGATCGTGAAGGGAGAGGATGACGGCAAAGAGAATCAAGGTCCTCAAGCAGCATCTCGGATGAGCTGCTTCTCTCCTCTGCCAAACTCCTGGAGTCCTCTTCGACTTTCAAAGCTCCGGTCGCCAACCAACGGCGAGGAAAGCCTTATGCGCAGCAATCTTCATAGTCAGCCTGCCTGGAAGGATCCGAAACCTTCTAGTCCTGGCGATGAAGACCTTTCTCAGGCAGACACGCCAGTGGATTATCAGGATTACGACAACTTTGCCCCCATCCACGACGCAAGCACCACCAAGTGTTCATTCGCCTTTTCGATCCGAGAACTTCATGGTACTCAACACATCCGATAAGCCTCGGAAGATGTTCCGAGACAGAAGAATTTATTTTTAACAGAATGACTGTGATGTATATGAAAGAAAAAGTCGTGCGAGTGAATCTGTCTTTGAGGGGGAGACGGGGAGGAAAAATCGAAAAATGTCAATTTCTCTTTTTCCCCGTAACTTTGGGTTCTGCTGCTTGCTCGTTCTGCTTATCGCTAGAATTGCGATAGATTTTCATGCCTGTCAGGAAAAGTTCCTCCAGACCAGCTTTCCTGCACCTTTCTGCCAGTTCAGACATCCCGTTGCAGTCAAGCTCTTCGAACCCATAATGCATCTTCCGCATCTGATCTATGCTCATGCCGCTGGGACAGGGCTCTATCTGTTCTCCTCTCACCACAATCTGCTTCCAGCGAAGACGCTGGAGGCAACGGACGTATTCCTGACAACACTCCTCCGGGCCCTCGACAATCACTGGGAAACAGTAAGGGAGGGCAACGGGAGTGTCGCAGGTCTGAGCATGCATACTCTTACCTATCCCGGGCCATCCGATCTTTGAATATCCGCCGAGCTTGAGTTGTACAGCCCATTCTTGAACGCACTGCCTCTTGGTAGGATTGATGATGTGATGGAAGTAGATCAGCCGACGCCCCAACGCCTTGGGCCCGGAATCTCTGACCAACACGGGCTTGTTGTCTCGCCTCAGCGCCTCGGCATCTGCCTCCTCTTGCCTCTTGTCGCTGAGCACCTCTGTGAAGAGCTCTTCTGCCTTGTCCAGCACCTGCATCACACTCTCCTCCCCAGCCAGCGAGTCGGCGTACTGCCGCAGGTTTCCATTGAGGTACTCGTGCTCTGCACGCGTTCCCTGCTGCCATTCCAGGCGGCAATGCAATGGTTGCTGCGGGTATTCCTTGGGAAGGGAGAATTTCACAGTGTAGTGCGATTCCTTGCAGATCTCGAAGGAGAGATCGGGCAGACCCTCGTCGACAAACTGCTCCGGGTCAGTGCAGGAGTCTACGACGACCTTGAGGAGCTGCAGCGACTCCTCATCCCCGCACACGAACGAGCCATCGATGGAGAACATCGCCTGGATGGCCTCAAACTCGTTCACCTGCCTCGCCCGCAGCTCATGTTGCATCGATCCAGCCATGTTTGCTCCCTGACGATGACTGAGAGTGAGAGGAGGAGGAGAAAGACCGTGATAGCCCGGAGTCAGCAGAAACAGGAGGAGGATGTGAAAGCTACGTCGTTCCTTTCGCGTTTGTCCATGCACCAACATCCCCCTGGCATGCTGCTTCCCTTCGCAGTTCCTGTTGAATTGGAGAAGGGTATGTGGGGGGATGAGGTCCACTGGACAGTGCTCTGCATCCCCCCCCCCTCCCCTTTTTCCTGCTCCTGCTCCTGCTCTTGCTCCTGCTCCTGCTCCTGCTCCTGCTCCTGATCCTTCTCCTGCTCCTGCTTCTGCTCCTGCTCCTGCTCCTGCTCCTGCTCCTGCTACTTCTCAATCCCCTTTGTAACTTTCGTTTTCTTGATCTGCTACTTCATCAGCTCCTCCTCCTACCCATCAGATCCCTTCACACTGTGGCTGTCCAAGCTGGACAGCATGTCATCGGACTTGCAAACTGAGCAGAGAGAAAATGGGCGCATCGAAAAATGTTGAGAACCGTGGTATGTGAAAACATGCGATGAAAGCACATTTTATCATCACAACAAGTCTTGCAAGGCATTCTTGAAACTTTTGTTTCGATTACTGTCGTTATTGTACTCTATCTCCCACTCAGGCACCCTCCCGTCCCACGTTCGTATTTGGTTTCTCTTTCCACCCATTCAGGTTCACACTCCATCAACATGTCTTGTTGTTGCAGGGATGAGTTTTCAGCAACAACTTCGAGCTGTTTGAAACAAAGTGGAAGAGGACAACGTTAAGAATGCTCAGCAGGAGAGTAGGGTAAGCGGAAGCGCAGAGCAATTAAAGACACTCGTCTGGTTTTGATATTCACACAGGCCCCCATCCTCCTACTCCTCTCTTCACTAGTTTCACTTGCGGCGCCACACGGACACGTTGATCACTCGCCACTTGTAGGAGCGAGCGCTCTCGCGGATGAGCATCGGCATGTCCTCCCTGTGCTGCAGCTCCATCTCGCCCTGCTCAGATATCAGTCAACAGGCAGAAGAAACGAGGAGACGGAGGCAAGAGAGTTGGTAAGAGAGGTGGAGCGGAGAGAGGAGGAGCGGAGAGAGGAGGAGCGGAGAGAGGAGGAGCGGAGAGAGGAGGAGCGGAGAGAGGAGGAGCAGGAGCAGGAGGAAAATCAGAAGGAGTGAACGTTAACAGAACAGAGAGGAGAATCAAGGAAGGAGGGCAAGGGGAGAGGAGGGAGAGGAGAATACTATGTAGCGTTACCTTGAAGCAAGCTTCCAGTGCTGTCGTGAGGGAGATCTCGTTCCCTTCCGCATCCACTGTTCCTCCCAGCCATTCCTGCGGCAGAGCAACGTCCTCGCTCCAGTCGGAGCTGGTGGCTACGACCAACAGGCCTCCTCGCTCCACAAGCCCCTCGTCTCCCACCATGTTGGACAGGCAGGCTGACGGCGAGCTCACCCGCTCCCTAGCAACAACGTCAGACATGCGAGGACAAGGAAGGGGCGGAAAGAATGCATTGTTGGGGATAAGAGGATGAAATGAAGACACAGAATCGACAAAGAAAGAAGAAGAGGAGAGGAAGAGGAGGAGAGCAAAGCAGTGAAGTGAGAAGATAAGGGTAGGCGAGGCTAGGGAAGGGAAAAGAAGAGGAGAGGAAAAACTGGCACGGAAGAGCAGAGGAGTGGGAGGAGGAGCTTACAGGATATGCTCAAGGAGAACAACATTGAAGCGTCCGAGGTCAGCAGAGCAAAGGTTCTCCAAGTCTGCTGTCCTGAACGTCACGCGTGTCCTGTCGACGAAGGAGTCCGTGGAGGCGATGAGCTCAGTGGCGAGTTTTCCCTCCTCCTTGCGCGAGAACTTCCTCTGCCCGTCCCTCTTCATCTCCTCCGCCGCCTGCACAAAGTGCTCCACATCCACCCCGACCACGTCGGAGAACTTCTTGGCCAGCTCAAACGAAGCCCCTCCCACCGAGCACCCCAAGTCCAGCACGCGCTTGTTGGCCACGCTGAGCTTCGCCGCCCAGTCCTGCACGAGCCTAGCGATGCGGAGAGGAAAGGAGAGGGCGCTTGAGGGGCCCTGCTCCCAGGGCAGCACGTCCTGCTTCGCCCCGTAGTGGAACAGCATGTGCTCGTTGACCTGCTTCTCGATCTCTGCCGTCAGGCTGGACGAGCTCACCGATGCCCCGTTGGTCCCCAACTTAGGAAGCATCTTGCCCTCGTTGGGGCCGCACGCCAGGCGAAAGCCGGCATGCTGGTTGAAGTGAGGGCGGAAGTGGAAGCGAGACCAGATCGAGGCCTCGTCACCAGTGGAGATGAAGGAGCCACCGAGGATGATAGTGTGCAGGCCGTCGTAGCAGGGGGTGGAGAAGTCCACGTAGAGAGGAGAGATCTTGAAGTCGTCGAGGGGATTGAAGTCGTCCTCGCACCAGTGCCACACGTTGCCGAATACCTGAGACTCTCGTTCAGATTCTAATTGGCAATCGGGGGCATCGCCGTATTTGTCCCACATAAATCAGGCCATCGTCATCACGATCGTCATAACAACAAATGGAGCGTCGTCGTCGTCATTATCATCATCATTTTCATCATCATCGGCGGCGGCAGCACCATCATCATCCGCATCACCATAAAACATTGAATAAAAGCTGAATGATTTCATTGCCGCAAACAATTCTCACATCATAAATCCCCGACGATGAGGGAGCAAGAGCATCCACAGGACTCTGAGATCCCCACGCAAGGTTCGAGTTGTACTTGTTGTCGCCCTTGGCTGCTCTCAAAGTCAGCGCCCCTTTTCAAGGTTATCATCACCAGACTCACTGTTTGACGACATCTCGTTGCCCGCGTACATCATCACAAAGTCTCTCGCTGTTCCTCGTGAAGTATCCTTGATCGCTGCATCTCGAATGATGTTGTGCTCTCCCTCCGTGATCAGTCGGTAGGGTGACTCCGGCTGCCATTATAGTCAACTCTCTGTGCCCCTCTAAAAACGATGAGGGGTGAAGTGATCAGGCTCGGGTTGATCCTTTTCCTTGGGCTGGTTTCCGCATCAGGTATGGCCTGTGCCCTCCTCTCCTCCTCTACCTCCTCCTGCTCACGGGGAGCTGCTACTCGTAGAACGATGCGAATCTCCCAACTACATGAAGACTACAGCATCTTTGCAGGGCACACATGGGCACCAAGAGCCCATATCAACTGAATCACACTGCAGTCTTTACTACGCCAGGTTTTGATTTCAGGCCCCCAACGATGCTTACAAACGTGACGCAGGGACAAAAGTTGCAGAAGCCCCTATCGTATCTGAAGTAGAAGTCAGAGATGGAAGACCCCATGAGAAGACCCTCACTCAAGTATTGGCAGGGATC